CTGGAGAAATGACACCAATTAGCTCTCCAAGGTGCTGCCCTCAAGCCCGAACTCAGGAGCAGTCTCCTCGATGATTCCGCTATTTTTTTTCTTCCAAATGTCTTTCACCCAAGTGCCACTTTCTTTGAAATTCAGCCACTGAGTTTCATTTCTTGAGCCCATTTTGCTTCACTTTTCATGATGCCCATGAAGGGTAATATATCTTCAAAGATGAGATCATCAGGTGGCCTCTCTCTAACGAAAGTGGAATCACGAAGGTGCAAGCCGCCCGAGGAATGAAGTTCAAGGGAGAGCTGAGAGAGGACAGTGTCCCGCCCCACCAAAAGGGGAAAACGTCTCAGTGGCAGTATCTGCAATGTGGCAAATGATCATATCTGTGTTTTGATATTTTCACGTCATGACAACAAGGACCACTGTTGTCAGGTGAGAAGAGCGGAAACAAAGTCTAAAAGATTTGATGTGTGGCTTACCTGCGTTGAGCCATATCTTTTTCCATGAAATGCAGTAAAGTCCTTAATTACACTTAAATCATTTAAAGAACCTGCGCAAGCGTATGCCTTGTAGTTGTGTCCGACTCTTTGCAACCCCAGGGACTGTGGCCCGCCAGCCTCCTGTGTCCGTGGGATTTCCGAGGCAGGAATATTGGAATGTGCTGCCATTCCCTTCTTCAGGGGATGTTCCTGACCTAGAGATCAAACCTGCATCTCTTGTGTAAGTGGTGCTGGTCTTCACGCACATGGCTTATTCATTTTACTCAAAAATAGTCTTGTTATTAAGGTAAATCTTAAATTTATGTTTAAATAGAAATTAAAATTGTTACTGCTAATTAATTCGAATTTTAAAAGCTCAGCCATGACTTCAGATGCCATACAGCAAGTATTTCAGTGTCACCACACTGCAGAGGGAGCGTCGTCTTCAGTTACTGTTATTAAAAAAAAGTCACTTAAATACTCACATTTCTATTCTAGCATGCTGGTATGAAAGCTTCAAGCTCTAACTCAAACCTTTTCACTAGACTGTATATAGACAGAGAGTTTCACTGTATTTGATTGGTTTCACCAGGAAAACAAGAAGGGGAAGGGAGCTGGCCTTCAACAATAGAGAACTCACTTTCCTCATTTAACACCTAATAATTTCACTAAAGTCCAGATTAAAATAATGTATCCTTATCTAAAGATCCACACATTTATGTCATTAATTTTAAGGAAACATACTTGCATGCTTATATGTTTTATTTTTTAAAAATTGGAAATAATCAGGTAGCTGTTAGTCTTCAAGAGACATTCTTGACGATGAGTATGAAGGGACATCTTAATACACCTTAAACTTATTCACAAGCCAGCAAGTCTCCAAGTGAGAATGCCAGATGGCCTTATATTTCCATCTTCAGCTCTGAAATCTTCTAAGTTTTCTGTTGACAATTTTTAATATACACCTCATTAAACATTTTACCCCTCCAGCAAGCCCCTCATATAGCCCCTAAAGCCCAACCATTGGCTTCAGTTTTCCTCTTCAGATCCTCCCTTTAGTCTTAGAGTAGAAGCAGTATTTATTCAAGAGTTTCCCTATTCTTATCCCTGGATTATGCTCAGCTAATCTCTAATTGTCACAAGAAAAAACGAACCACATATTATTTAAGTCTAGACCCTTGAACTGCTTAATTATCATTATCAATTGTAAACTTGATCATTATAACAGCTTAAGGGGCTTCCCGGGTGGACCGGTTAGAGCCCTGGGTTGAGAAGATAGATCCCCTGGAGGATGGCAAGGCAACCCAGTCCAGTATTCTTCCCTGGTGAATCCCAAGGACAGAGGAGCCTGACAGGCTACAGTCCTTTGGGTCACTGAAGACCAATCTTAGTACTCAATTTCACTAATGGGGAAAGAAATAGAAGAAGAATTTTCTTTCCTAAGAAACAAACAAATCTGTTACCATACTAACATTGGCCTTTTATAAAAGTGAGTTGGCATCGTTCACTATGCCAAGTGGAAAAAAAAAGAGAGAGAAAAAAAATTGTAATGCTAAAATATATTGCTCCATGTGAGAAGAGACTGCAATAGATTTAACTCTATCTTCTTGAAGGACATGGGCTTTCCTTATAGCTCAGTTGGTAAAGAATCTGTCTGCAATGCAGGAGGCGTCTGTTCAATTCCTGGGTCAGGAAGATCCCCTGGAGAAGGGATAGGCTGCCCAGTCCAGTATTCTTGGGCTTCCCTTGTGGTTCAGCTGGGAAAGGATCTGCCTGCAATGCAGGAGACCTGGGTTTGATCCCTGAGTTGGGAAGATCCCCTGGAGATGGGAAAGGCTACCCACTCCAGTATTCTGGCCTGGAGAACTCCATGGACAATCCATGGGGTCGCAAAGAGTCAGACGTGACTAAGCAAGAAAGTAAATCATTAAGACTGCAGATATTTTCCTCATCTACAGACAGCAATGTTTCATTTGAAAGAAAGTGAGACTGAGTTTGAAAGACCTGCATTGGAAGTTGATTGCTGAAACCTTGAAAGGACCAGACTCCAGTGTAACAGTCCCTGACATACTAACGAGGGAAACACGTGATGTGAGGCAAGCGAGTCTCCCTCGGCTTCAATTTCTTCTCTGTAAAGTGGGGATAATAAAAACGAGACTACCAGCTTAGGACGCAGATGACTCAACTGAGGTGAATGTGTCTGATGGAAAATAAAATGACCATGTGATGTAAATACATTTATCAGACTTACGGAGCAATATCTTTACAACCTAAACATATACCTGTTATTGAAATATAATAAAAAATGTTTACCGCCCCTCCCAAAAAAAGATCTTCACAACCCAGATAATCATGATGGTGTGAACACTCAACTAGAGCCAGACATCCTGGAATTGAAGTCAAGTGGGCCTTAGGAAGCAGCAGTACCAACAAAGCTGGTGGGGGTGATGGAATTCCAGTTGAGCTATTTCAAATCCTAAACGATGATTCTGTGAAAGTGTTGCACTCAATATGCCAGCAAATTTGGAAATCTCAGCACTGGCCACAGGACTGGAAAAGTCAGTTTTCATTCCAACCCCAAAGAAAGGCAATGCCAAAGAATGCTCAAACTACCACACAATTCCACTCATCTCACACGCTAGTAACGTAATGCTCAAAATTCTCCAAGCCAGACTTCAGCAATACGTGAACCGTGAACTTCCAGATGGTCAAGCTGGTTTAGAAAAGGCAGAGGAACCAGAGTTCAAGTTGCCAATATCCGCTGGATCATCAAAAAAGCAAGAGAGTTCCAGAAAATGTCTATTTCTGCTTTATTGACTATGCCAAAGCCTTTGACTGTGTGGATCACAGTAAACTGTGGAAAATTCTGAAAGAGACGGGAGCACCAGACCACCTGACCTGTCTCTTGAGAAATCTGTATGCAGGTCAGGAAGCAACAGTTAGAACTGAATAAGAAACAACAGACTGGTTCCAAATTGGAAAAGGAGTACATCAAGGCTGTATATTATCACCCTGCTTATTTGACTTATATGCAGAGCACATCATGAGAAATGCTGGGCTGGAGGAAGCACAGGCTGGAATCAAGATTGCCAGGAGAAATATCAATAACCTCAGATATGCAGATGACACCACCCTTATGGCAGAAAGTGAAGAAGAGCTAGAGTCTCTTGATGAAAGTGAAAGAGGAGAGTGAAAAAGTTGGCTTAAAACTGAACATTCAGAAAACTAAGATCATGGCATCTGGTCCCATCACTTCATGGCAAATAGATGGAGAAACAGTGGAAACAGTGGCTGACTTTATTTTGGGGGGCTCCCAATTCACTGCAGATGGTGACTGCAGCCCTGAAATTAAAAGATGCTTACTCCTTGGGAGAAAAGTTATGACCAACCTAGACAGCATATTAAAAAACAGAGACACTACTGTGCCAACAAATGTCTCCGTAGCCAAGGCCATAGTTCTTCCAGTAGCCGTGCATGGATGTGAGAGGTGGGCTATAAGGAACCGAGCACCAAAGAATTGATGCTTTTGAACTGTGGTGTTGGATAAGAGTCTTGAGAGTCCCTTGGACTGCAAGGAGATCCAACCAGTCCATCCTAAAGGAAATCAGTCCTGGGTATTCATTGGAAGGACTGATGTTGAAGCTGAAACTCCAATATTTTGGCCACCTGATGCAAAAAGCTGACTCATTGGAAAAGACCCTGATGCTGGGAAAGATTGAAGGCTAGAGGAGAAGGGGACAACAGAGGATGAGATGGTTGGATGGCATCACTGACTCAATGGACATGAGTTTGAGTAAACTCCAGGAGTTGGTGATGAACAGGGAGGCCTGGTGTGATGCAGTCCCTGGGGTTGCAAAGAGCTGGACATGACCAAGAGACTGAACTGAACTGAACCCCCACCCTAGTTTCACATGGCTCAATCCTTAGTACAGAAAAAGAAAATATTTCCTTCAGAGTCAAGAAAAAATGTGAGCCATAAAGATATTTAAAGATATTTAAGAGCAAATGAAGAGTAATTTCAAAATTCTGGCTTAGTTTTTGCTCTAAAAAAGAATTAAATTGTGAATTATTATTTCCTCCTTTTCTGGGTGTTTCTTTTGTTGAATTTCATAAGTTAACAGAAAGAATCAACATTGAGTTTTTCTCTCCCCATCTGTCCCTTTCCCGTGTATCTATCAAGAATTTTCTTTTACTGGATTTATGATAGCCTAAGAAAATAACAGGGATTCTAACATGAACATCCCATGGAAAAATCAATTTTATACATGTAACATATGTGAGAATTTGGAAAAGCAGCAATAAAACACTGGAGACTAATATACTCTACAGTTATTGAACTAGGAGTTTATTGTTGTTGTTCCAATTAAGTATTCTGAAACTATGAATGTGAATATTGAAGCCTTGACAAAGGAATTTCAAAGTTATCAAAATGCTAAATAAATATCAATCTGTTAGTAAATATTTAGCAAATATTATTTTATAGGCCTTTCTTTTTCATCAGTGATCTGCAAAATTTATTAACTTTCTTTTTCACAATCTAAAACAGGTGTAACCCTTCCTATGTATATAAATAATCACTTTCTTGGCATCCTGAATATCCTAAATGACTCTTCTCTTCAACAGATTCCTCATAGCTTTTTTCTCTTCTGTGTTTCTCACTGTGTAAATGATAGGATTTAACATGGGACAGAGGATTGCAAAGAACATAGTCACCCACTTGTCCACAGGGTTCGTGGCCACAGGGCGCGTGTAGGTGAATATACAAGGACCAAAAAAGAGAACCACTACTATAAAGTGGGAGCCACATGTAGAGAGGGCTTTTTGCCGTCCTTCAGAGCTATGGGATTTCAAGGAGTTCAAGATAGCGATGTGGGAGGTGACCAGGATGACAAAAATAAGCAAACACATGCCCCACTGTTGGCTGACACCACCATTCCCAGCCTGTAGGTGTCGCTGCAGGCAAGTTCCAACAGTGAGAAGAAATCACACATGAAGTGGTCAATGACACTGGGACCACAGAAGGTCAAGTCCATTGAGAAAAGGATCTGGACTGTGCCATGCAGAATCCCCCCAACCCAGGCCATCACCACCAGGAGCTGGCAGAGCCCCTGTCGCATGATGGTCGTGTAGTGCAGAGGCTTGCAGATGGCCACGTAGCGGTCATAGGCCATGGCCATGAGGACAATGATCTCTGATCCTCCCAGGAACTGCTCCAAAAAGAGCTGAGTTTGGCAGCCTCCCCAGGAGATGGTTCTGCTCTGGAACAGCAGGTCAGTGATCATTTTGGGCATGCTCACAGAGGTGAAGGAGGCATAATAAGGCCAATAAGTGAGAAAGAAGTACATGAGAGCCGAAAGTGTGAGACTGAGGGAGACGGTGATGACAATGAGCAGGTTGGCCAACACAGTAAACAGGAAAATGAACAGAAAGACAACAAAGAGTATTTTTTGCAGGTGTGGATTCTGTGTGAGTCCCAAGAGAACAAATTCCGTCACATTGTTGGGAGGCCGGAGGACATCCATTCAGCAAGTAATACCTTCCTGAGCCTGCATTACCTACAAAGAATACAGAATGATACTTGTTAATCATGATAGCATTGTGATCCGACTATCTCAGAATAAAAACAGTGCAGTCACAGTGACTGTAGCGCATATCCTTGGTAATTTGCCCCAGTTCTCCTTTCAAGTCTTTCTTACTTTTTTCCATGATGCTTTCCATTTCTTCAAACACTCAGAGCTTGTCACCTGTAACATTTTATGTTATAATTTACCTAAGACAACATTTGATGTTATAATTTACTGATAAAGCACTGGGCTCTCTCCATGAGATCTGGATTCTCCTAATGGTTTCAACTCTATGTGACTCTACAAAGTCATCTAAGTGCTCCATACTTCCGTGAGTTCCTCTGTGTCTGTGAGGCTAGCAACTGTAATTTTCAGATGTGTCTTATAAGCTGAGAAGAGCTACACACAAGTCAGAGTTATTTCCTCTTGCTTGAAAATTTGCATTTGAAATCTCACATCTGTGGAGAGAAAACACATGAACAATTGTCTGTCATAAACAGGGAGTTTAGGGAAACGTACATAAGTCCCTGGTAACAAAAACTCACTGGTACCTGCCAGAACACGTTAGCTACTCAGGTGTGTCTCATCACTGTCCCTCCCATAGTGGCTGGCATAATATCCTCAGTGTCTGAGACCTATTAGGTGATGAGTGTTTGACACTGAATGGCCCTTCTCCGAGGAACAGCATACACCTCCTTCCCCAGACCATAATCTCAGATGAATTCAAGTGATCTTCTCCTCCAGCTCCGCCCACCTATGATCGCTCTACTTTATGAGAAAGTTAAATAGACATTGAAAGGAAGCTGCACTCCAATTTAACAGTTTCTGAGTGAAGAAGTTGGTTTAAAACTCAACATTCAGAAAATTAAGATTATGGCATTTGGTCCCATCACTTCATGGCAAATAGTTGGGGAAACAGTGACAGACTTTATTTTGGAGGGCTCCAAAATCAATGCAGATGGTGACTGCAGCCATGAAATTAAAAGATGCTTGCTCCTTAGAAGAAAAGCTATGACCAACCTAGACAACATACTAAAAAGTAGGGACATTACTTTGACAACAAATGTCAAGGAGATCCAACCAGTCCATCCTAAAGGAAATCAGTCCTGATATTTACTGGAAGGACTGATGCTGAAGTTGAAGCTCCAATGCTTTGGCCACTTGCTGCGAAGAGCTGACTTATTGGAAAAGACCCTGATGCTGGGAAAGACTGAAGGTGGGAGAAGAAGGGGACAGCAGAGAATTAGATGGTTGGATGGCATTACCAACTCAATGGACATGTTTGGGTAAATTCTGGGAGTTGGTGATGGACAGGGAGGCCTGGCCTGCTGCAGTCCATGGGGTGGGCACGACTGAGTGACTGAACTGAACTGAACTGACACACTCTCTAAAGTAATTATGGAAATATTTAATTGCCTCATGGAAAGTTAATTTTTTGAGTCATTTTACTTTCAAGATAATTAGTGTGCTAATTTGTAATTTATATTCTTCAATATTATGTTCCGTGTGTGTGTTTTTTTGTGTGTGCGCGCGCATGCACGTGCTCATGCACGCTCAGTCGTGTCCAAATCTTTACAATCCCATGGACTGTAGACCCGCCCAGCTCCTATATCCATGGAGTTTTCCAAGCGAGAATAATGGAACGGGCTACCATTTCCTGTTCTACATACAATTTAACATAGTCATATTCTGTGAATTTACCGCTTCAGTAGACTTGATAAAAAAATATTCTTGCATAGGTGTCAATACACAAGGATCAAGTAAAGAAAATCCTTATTTTCAAAGTTCTAAAAATAAGAAAAAATTAATGAGGAGAACAGAAAGAGTTGGCTAGAAAATTTCGTCGATGCACTATACATATATATATATATGTACCCCAACGATAGCGAATAGCATTTAGTTAATTTAGTCACTAAGTCATGTCTGACTCTTTGCAACCCCATAGACTGCATCACACCAGGCCTCCCTGTCCATCTCCACTCCCAGAATTTACTCAAACTCATGTCCATCACGTTGGTGATGCCATCCAACCAGCTCATCCTCTGTCATCCCCTTCTCCCTCTGCCTTCAATCTTTCCCAGCATCAGGGTCTTTTCCAATAAGTCAGTTCTTTGCCTCAGATAGCCAAAGTATTGGAGTTTCAGCTTCAGCATCAGTCCTTCCAATGAATACTCAGGACTGATTTCCTTTAAGCTGGATTAGCTGGATCTCCTTGCAGTCCAACGGACTCTCAAGACTCTTGTCCAACACCACAGTTCAAAAGCATCAAGTCTTCGGTCCTCAGCTTTCTTTATAATACAAAATCCATTACTTATTAGTTCCTACTACAAGCTCATTCATTCAAGGAATATTTACTGGATACTTACTATATATATTATGTTGTTGTTGTGTATGTTGTTCACAATATGTCATAAATGTGTCATTATCAGCTGTTATTAATGCCTGAAATTCTATTACCAAACAGCAGCAGCACACCCATCTGTAATATGAATGACCTTCCCACTCCTTCTCAAGCTTTCTCCCACCTTTTATAGCATCCAGTATCCATCACTCCTAGTTACAGGAGGAGTGGGTGCTAAGTTGCTTCAGTCGTGTCTGACACTTTGTGACCCTATGGACTGTAGCCTGCCAGGCTCTTCTGTGCATGGGATTCTCCAGGCAAGAATACTGGAGTGGGTTGCCATGCCCTCCTTCGGGGGAATCTTCCCCACCCAGGGACTGAACCCATGGTCTCTGTGTCTCCCACAATGACAGTCAGGTTCTTTTCCACTAGTGCCACAGGGGAAATCCAGTTACAGGATACCACATTACTAATAGAGTGAGAGAATTGGAGATGTACATTTGTCAAAGAGAAGAGAAGTAAATATAATAAAATGTATTTGGCAAAATGTAACTTTCTCTTTCAAAGATAAATTAATAAAGAACTTTATTTTTAATCATCTAAGGTGAAAATTTTATACAAATCTTAAATCAAAGTGCTTCATTGCAAGTCCCCATTCTGAGGTAAGATCTCACAACAGATCAAAATAGACTAGAATGTAAATAAAGTAAGAATTAAACATAACAACTATGAAGAAATATAAATTACTTTTCTTGCTTTTCTTTGACTCCACAATACTTTTTCAAGGAATAAGCCCTAATGTAAGATATTTTTTAAAGAGAAAGATCACTAGGTATAAATATGTTCAACACAATTATTAAGACCTATGGAAAATTAGAAACAGTGTGGAATATTCAAAAGTGAAGAACAAAATAATTAAAATATAATCACTTTCTTTGAATAATATGTAGTTTTTAACAAAGCTGCATCTAAAATTGTGCATTATCATTGAAAATTTCTGAAGTTGTAATATTAAGTGGGGAAATTTTGGATGCACATTTGAATTGTATAGAAACTGTTATTTCATTGTAACTAATTATATTATTCTTCTAATGAATTTAAATATATATTTATAATATAAAAGACCCCAAAATATTTTTACCTCTAAATTCTTAGTACTGTAGTTGAGTATACCTCACTTGATGCTTTGTGCACTGAAGAAGGATTTAAATCCCAGGTAAGTTTGGATGAGCAGTGATTATATGATCTGCAACATGCATTTAAATATGAGAACCTAAGATTATATAATTTCAAAAAATAATCTCACCTATGACTATGTTTGACATAGCTCCATGGTCAAGCCCCAGGCAGCTGCTAGTTCACTAGGAAAGAAGTGTTAAGTTATAAGATTAAAAATGCCAACTAGCTCAGCTGCAATAAGTGTCTTTGTTGATTTATAAATGGTATCTTTGGATAAGCCTTGAAAACACTACCACATATCCTCTTTTTGGGCAAAGTCTAGGAAGTTTCTTCTCTGTGGCTAATTGACCTCAGGGGTATTTCTCCATCATTAGCAGGTCTTGCCAATAACCCAATTATTTTAAATAAGGCATCTGAACATCAGAGAAGAGCTTTTACAATATTCATCTTTAATTTTAAGCTTCATCCTTAAGTCTACATGAAAACAAAATATCATCACAAAATAAAAAAGCACC